GGGAGGGGAGGGGAGGGGGGGAGGGGGTTGAGAAACGATGTGTTCGCTTCAAGGTTCAGGGATCCCGGCTTCGGGAATGGGATCAAGCTGGATTCTGGGGCTTGGCACTATCACTTGCCCTCGCTCAGTGGCCCTTATTATCTCAGTGCGTCGGACACTGGCTGGCCAGTTGAACTCGGGCGCTGGCTTTGCAGCCTTGCTTGCGCTGGTCGCGCCTCGGCTCAAGACGGTGCTAGCTACGGGGTCAGGTTGCATGGGGTCTGGCTCCAATTTGCTACCTTGATGCACGATTCATGCGACCTTATGATTTAGCAACCTCAGATGAACAGACAGCAGAGAGCACTCGCGACACCGAAGCTCTATTAGACACTGGAATCCCGGAAGGGCGCAACATCCTAGTCCAAAACTGACATCATGGATCCCCAACGCATCACGACTCATCTAATAATGGCTGGGACAGGTACGGAAGCGGGGCGCAGCGACGCGCTGCCCTGGCAGCACCTGCACGCCGCCACCAGAAAATTCGGGCTCTAAGACGCTTTGGCTCTGAGACGCTTTGAGGATCGAAGGGTTCACGTACCACTCGCACCAAAAGAATGGAATACAAACAACGTTCGGCCTGATTCTGCAGGCCTCGGATGCCCATTGCAAGGCTCAAGGTTCAGAAGTCCGGCAGATTCGTTTGAGGGGCCACGGGTTAAGCCTGGCAGAGATTGGGACAGTGCTCTTAGTTTCGCTCAATCTTTGGGCGCTGGGGCTGGGGTTCATCGGCTCATGTCATTGCGTGCTGTCTCGCTTTCTAACAACTTTAAACGCGAAACTGCAAAGCTATGCCCGATGCCCCGCGCAAGCTTATTCAACTTGCGCTCGTCGGACGCACTCTTCAAACCCCGCAAATACTAGCTATCAACACGTTCATGCAACAACTTCTTGCGAATTGCACTCCTGAACACAAGATTACAAGATCGTTAAACAACAACACCAATTGAAAGAAACATGTGCGCCAGCAATCATTTAAGACGTTGTTTCAAAAATAAACACGGCCAGATTGTCACGGCCCAGCGGCACTGCGCAGCACGTGGGCCACACTCCACCGCCCCGAAGCCCGTCCTGGGCCAACAGTTGCAAGGGATCACAGAGGAAGATGCAGGCCACCTGGGGTTTGTAGCAAGTAGGATAGTGGTTTCTCAGCCGTTTCAGCTGAAACTCCATTGAAACGTGCAAGAACATCTTGTGCACAGGGAGCGAGGGAGGGAGGGAGGCGGAGGGAGGGAGGGAGCGAGGGAGAGAGAGAGAGACAGAGAGACAGAGAGACGCGAGATCATGTCGCTGAATGCAAATGGGTGCGAAGCCCTCTCTCGCAGATCACCTGAATGCTACGTAACGAGCCGGGGCTCTTGGGCTTCGGAGCAGGGAGATTGCACGCCATGTAGGCTGCGCGCCTTGGCCATGGCAAACTGTTTCGAAAACCTTGACAGCCGAACCCACGGCATGTATGGGTAACGCAATCAGGAGATGCGAGTTCAAAGGACTCAACCCACCTTTATGCTCGAGCTAGAAGCGTCAGGAAACTCAGGAAACCGGGTGTAGCCCTCAGCGCCAGACCATCGGCGCTCATCCAGGCGCTGCTGCTTCATCTTGGCTTGCGGGTGGATTTCCGACTTCTGATTCTTTGGGTGATAGAGGTTTTCAATGAGTCCCCATTTGCTATGCGAATTTGGGCTCGCAAAGGGTGCTATGCGAATGTGCGCCCAAAGGTGCAAGTGTGAAGCCGGCTGCTTGAAACCTCCGTGCCTTCAAGACCGTGAAAAATCTTGCCAACTGGAGATACGCAGAAATGCTTGTATCAGCAGCTCCGACCTCTTGTTGAAATGGTTTGTGACCTGTTTTCACTACCCTGCGGAGCTTGCCTGACAAATCAGGCGCGAATTTTGTCAAATGCTGCACTCCACCTCCAGCCACCTCCTTCGAAATGGCTACGCAGGATGCATGTCCTCTCATCAAGCTCAAAAAGGGTCTTCCTACGCTTCGAGTTTCCAACACCGTCCGAGGTTCTGCGCGCAGCGCTGCCAGAGCCCGCTCGGTCTCGCCCTGGAGGTGAAACAGGCCAAGGTCTTGCAGTGCCTTAAAATTTCTCATCCGACCTCATCGCTTCCCTGACTCGTAGCGCCGCAGCGCCAGGCCATCAACAACATAACGCCCTGGGCAACCCTCCGCCTTGAGTACCCACTCCAGAATCCACCCATTCCTGTAGCCCTGCAACTCGCGGCCTGGCGCGGCTCCTGTTGCCTGGGCTGTTTAGATGCTTCAAACTGGCTTGCTGGCTTGCTAATCAAAGAGAGGGCTAAGAAGGCGAGGACTTCGGGTTCTGACAAAGACCGAAAAGCTGCTCGATGCCCCCATGCAAGCACACTACACAATCCGCCAAGAATCGGAACCACTCGCCACCACCAGGGCATTGCTGATGGGGTCTTTGCCTCCATCCTCAATCAACTGAGCATGCAAGAAGATGCATCCAGCATAGGCTACGGGAAAGCCGTGGGAGCTGGTAGAAACGTGCAGGGCTGCTTGCATCCTACCCGCAAGCTTCTCAACATTATCTCCACCACATGTTACCCCGCGAATGTCACCGCCAAGCCGCAGAAGTGGACTGCTGGGCCTTGCAGCGGCAAAACAAGGCCGTCTGTCCATGCTAACTCGGGCTCCGACATGCGCATACTATACTTCAGGAACTTTCGAACTGTCCAATGGGTTGGGACCCACTGCGTCAGATTTGTGCCAAGGCCCAGGCGCCGTGCTTACATCCGCATCCTGCAACACCACCCCGTGGTTCACACTCATGCGCGCGGAGCTAAGCTGAGGAAAGGGCCACGTCCACATCTTTGAAGCTGCCGAGGTCCTTCCTGAGATTGAGATCGAAGCTTCGTTCCGACAAGCTCGAGCAGCACAGAAAACGGCCAAGCGACTTCAGGACGAAGCTGCCTGGTGGACTGGTGGGCCTGGCCAGCGACACGATTATTGCAGGGCGCTGACAGCCACGATGGGGCTCGGGCGGTGTCGCTGCAAGTGGCGAGGCCACTGCCGGGTCCTTGGCGAAGGACGCGCTTCAGGTCACCCCACTTAGGAGGCGGGGACTGAACGCACTGAATACCGGTCAATCCGTCGCCTCGGCCTCAAGGGCCGCCAGGTTTTCGGCGCTCAGCCGAAGTGCCATTGCAGGCGCAATTTGTGGTGAGAGCTGCAAGTTGCTCAGCGATTGTGTCTCAAACAGGCCGAGGCCTTCAGTAATTCACTGGAGTGACCTGATGCCTGCTAACGCAACTCGACAGGTAATTACAAGGGGGAAGTTGCCCGACCGTTTCAACACGTTCTGACCCAGCTCAAGCTTGATAACTGCCTTGTGCATTGATCTGGAAACGGTCTTCAGCGCGAGCAGTGCTTCTTTGAGCACTTCGGCTGCTTTGCGTCGGCCATGATCTCGAAAGTCCAATCTCCCTTCGAGTACCCTGCCGCGAAATGACCTCGCATGCATGTCCACGCTTTTCACGGCTTTCTCACGCCGGCGTCCCGCTGACGTCCTTAGCTGACCAAGCTCTTGTGACGCTCTCCGGTATCCTCGGGAGGGGGACACTGAGAACCACGCGATGACATCCCACCTGCCACAAAGCTGCTGCTTCAAAAGCAGGCTCCGGTACTCCTGGCAGGACAGAAGCTTCGAGTCTTGTCCAGGGCAGCGTCGGGACAAATGATCACGTGGAGCAGAGGGCACCGGGTCCTTCTCGCCGCACATGGCGATCAGCTGGCTTCCCATGGGCAGCCACTCCAACTTCCAAACCTCCTGCAGCAGAAGGTTCTCTGCAAACTTCACTCATAAGGACATGAAGGGAAGTTTGGAAGCACTCTACATCCATTCTCTAAATTTTCTAGAGCTTGATGGTGTGTAAATTTTCAAGAAATTTAGAGAATGGATTTCCAAAATTTTCCGAAAATTTTGAAGCCGAACAAAAAGGAGACTAAGCCCGAGACCATAAATTTCTCGGAAATTTACGACCCTGGGAGTTGCGTTTCGAGGCTTTGTCCTTTCATGCGATTTGGGGGAGCGTCGCGCCTGTAAATGCTCTGGAAATTTAGAAGAAGTCTTTATCCGAAGGGTGGCCACACGAACAAGGGTGAATTGCAGCGTTTTCATTTATAGAATAAACAAAAAAACGTATAACTATAGACAGACAGACGTACATAAGAATGCAAAAATTTATATATTAATCTGTATCTGTATTAACATACACAACTACAATATCTCTAGCTACAGTCTTTTTGATATACTTATCATAAAACCATTCACACGGAGGCCTTCTGCATAAAGCTAACATGCTCGAACATAGCAAGCCCGAAGTGAGGCAAGGTGTCGCGAAAATGAAACACAAGTATGACTTTAGCTACAGTATTTTGATATGCTTTCCATAGAACCATTCACACAAAGGCCTTGCACATAAAGCGAACATGTTCGAACATTGCAAGTCCAGCTTAGAATTAGATTTCATGTTGTGTTCTTCGCTGTTAAACACTCCAAAGCGAATTCGTCTGACTTTCTTCTTGTCTGTCGGAGAAGACGCCCCATAAACTCTAGTAACATCTATCAGAATCTATCATATTGAACTTAAAGTTCAATTCTAGCTACCAACAGTTAACGTGCATACAATTGTTGAGATAAGCCATGTACTTAGTATTGCTAGACATGAGCTGGCCATGCATGTGCGGCTTGGCGATACACGTCGCACAACAGTCCATTCGTGAGCACAAAAAGACAGGTAACTGAAGAATTGTCATGTCATCATGTACTATCGACAAAAAGAAGCTCCTGGGTGGCACGTAACCTGTGATGAATGCCATCGAAGCGCATCTTTCAGAGTTGGAATCTATGTACATGATCACACCGCTCGAAAATAGAGAATTCTCCCTTGCTTGGGAAGGACTGAGTTTTGGTCCTCACATCTCAACACGGGCCCCGAACATCGCCGTCCTCCTCAACTGGTTGCATGGCTTGGTCTGAAAACTGGCGTTCAGTAGGAGCTGAGGCGAATGCATCTCCCAATTGACTGGGATTGCTCCGGCTGGATCTGGGTCGTTGCCTGATTTTCGCACCTTCGAAACAGTAGCTCTCCAAATGTCAGGACAAATGAGTATGCCGCCCGTGCCATCCTCTCGCAGGAGCTTCCCAATCGCCCGGCCAAGCTTTTTGGTCTGGAGCATTGCACTTCGTGATGTGCACATCAACTCAAAAAACACACAGAGTCTCACACACGCGCAGGCACAGACAGACAGACAGACAGACAGACAGACAGACAGACAGACCGACAGACAGAGGTCTCGAGTGGCCTCCTGCCCACCGTGCTGTATGGCACCAGGTCTAATCTGTGCCAGCTTTCTCAGCAGGCTTCCAACCTTGAAGAACAAAGTGTTGAACGCTCTCTCGCAAGAGTTACAAGATCCGCATGTCTTCACGCCCCACCTCAGAGCCACCAATCGTAGTCTGCTGTTTGCCAGTAAATGGGCCTTGTGTGAACATCTTTGAAAGGTCTGTCAACGCAACCAAAGCATAGGGCCGTTGCAGTATCCAGAGTTCACTCGTCCAGCATTGACTAGCCGGTTCAGCTGACTCACGGCCGCGTTGAAGGCTGTCAAAGAGCTCTGCAACTGCCGACTGCGATGTTACAACGGAGCTACCTCGCTGAAACTCCCCTCTTCAAAGATGCCCCTCTCAACACTGGCCTGACTAAACCCTTCGCAGCGCCTGTTCCGACAGAATCCTCCTGCCAGCAGGTGCTGTCCTGCGAGACCATGGATTCCAAGGACCTCGCACGTCAGAGGGCCGAGGGACTCAGGCTCCTAAGACTAATTGCTAGGTACGCGGTAGGACGCACTTACAGCTCTGATCTCAGCCGTGCGCTCGCCGAGGTGTTGCAGACCGGCACCTTAGAAGCCAGCCAAAGCCCACACGGGAGAACCCCCGCCGCAGAGAAGACCGGGGAGCCAGGCGCAGACTGAGCAGGTAATCCCCTGCAGCGCGGTTGCTCACCAGGTCCAGGGTCCTCCAGGCCAGGCAAAAGGAACGTGCCCCGGACATCTCTACCCGAAACTCGCTAGGAATGCCTCGTCATGTTGGCAACCAGCTTCTCCGATGAACTCAGCCTGCACAAGCTGTTTCCCATGTTCGGGGCCGTGATCGGCAGACCGAGATCGCAGCCGGCAATTCACAGTCTCGACGTCCTGCGATGTCAGTCCAGAATTTAGTGAAAACATGTGAAAACTCCAGGCAAGGACATCAGAGTCACGTGATGTTACAAGCACTACGGCTATCAAGCTTCTGCAGGCCCTCTGCACATCTTCAGATCCACAACTGGTTTGGGTTCTCTTCGGCGCGTGCGAGCTTCGCATGGCTGTCTGCAGCTTTTGCAGGGCAGGACCACACTCGCCACAAGCCGCTGCTATGTACTCGTAGTGGCTTCGCGTCGAAAGGGTGCGACTATGACTGTTCGGTTGCCTGCAAGTCACAGCTGCGAGGCTCAAGCACAGTCCTTCGTGGCAACACCGAGCTCATTTGCGATCGTCGACCTCACCACGGTGCCAAAGCGCTGTTTACAGAAAAGAGGCCGTTCAGCTCATGTAGGTTCGAAAGATGACAGATTGCCAAAGCCAAATCAACCAGCAACAATTCGCCTCGGCACAGCTGGTGAGCTCCTGGATGCCACAGCCAGAAGGTCTCGGCCAGCGGCACAAGAAGCGTCGCTGGAAGCCAGGTCGATTCCTCCTGCAAAGCACGTGCGAAAACCGATTTCAATGGGGCTGAAACGTGAGGACAGCGACTTGGGATCCGCGCAAGGTCGCCACTGGCACAGCCGCCTCGAGCTCACGTCCGAGTCTCTCTTCAGCACATGCAAAGGCTGCAGAGGCTGAAAAGGCTGCAAAGGCACTGGACATGGCCATAGCAAGAAGGGCCCCAATCTTCCGCAGATGGCCTGCAGTCGCTCTGCATAACTCTGCACCCTGAACCCTCTCCCGGAGCACCTGGAGGCATCTTGCGGAGGTTCGTCAAAACTCCCCGGACACATTGTGCGAGTTTGCTGCGATCTTCTTGCCATGAACAAAGAGTCTGCTCTCTGACTTTGCCAAGCTGTGGCCAATTCACGCCGTTTGCGTGGTTGGCTTCGTGGTTGCAAGCACTAGTCCACATGCAGCTTGCTACCTTTAAAAGCCCACCTGCAGCATGCGTCGACGTGCAAGTTTCATGGTGTCCACTTTGCAACGGGGCTTGTGGTGCACGATGAGCGAATCCATCTTCGGAGGCGAGCGTGTCTTTTGGACGCAAGGTCTCCGGGCGTCTGACTGCTTCAAGGAGGCAGGGAAGATGCCCAGTCCCCCAGTCCCTACATGCACTTTGCAAAAATGGCACTGACATCAAATCTTGGGGCCGCAGGGCCCCCGTGGGTCCACGAGTGACCCTCGCTGACCACAAAGTGTTTTACAAAAGCTGTTCCGAGAGCTGCAGTCACAGCGGCCGGCTCCGCTCACTCTACATGCGAACACGTCTGGAGGCGGAACCAGAGGCAATTTCTGCTTGAAAGTGTGCGTCATCGTCATCCACAGCGCAAGTCAAGTTTGGAACTGGAGTCCAAGTCCCGCACATTGCAGTTGCCCTTCGTTCTGACTTGGTCTTTGCTGTAACCCAGCTTGTAGAGGGCGAGGATTCGCGTGCTGAAAGCACGTGCCAGGTGTCAGCCGAGTCACACATCTTCTCCGCGAACTCGGTCCCAAGCAGTCTGAAGTTCGTCTCTATCTACTTAGGGACATCAGTGAGCATGTGACGTGCTCCTGGCTGTGGCTAGCAGGGAACTGGAGAGAATCACAAGGCGAAAAGCTGATGTCATTTCATCCGGCCCGTCCTGGCAGCAGCAGTGCACGCTGCTTCCTGCCAGAACGACTTTCGGAATCAGTGTTTGGAATACGCTCATGATGGCCATGCAGTTTCCGCGCTGATTTCGAACAAGCGGCGAGGTTTCGACCAGGAGTCGCTGGTTCAACCTGTTGAGATCATGGCATCGGTCCGGAAGCTCAGCATTCCAGAGCAAGAAAGCTCCACTTCGTTTGTGGTGTTCTGTCCAAAACTTTTCGTCTATACTGTTTACATCTTGCATGACCAGCGCAAACAGGTTGTGAATGACCACACCTGGATTGCTCCCGGCGCTCGCCACGCAACTCTTCGAGGGCAGCAGCCTCATCCACTGACGCATTGCTCTCCATGTTTCTTGCTGCGTCATGAAGCTATGCCATGTGGGAATCGCAGATTCAAACATAGGCTATACCTGCCATATCCTTGAAGCTGAGCAACGTGGGCGTCTTCGGCGGCTCGAACCTCCGACGCTCGGCCCGCGGACAAACGATGGATATTGCATCGAGCGACTCTCAGACAATCTGTCGCCTGGTCATGAACGGTCGACAGTCTCTGCATCAGGGTCTTGTGCATCAGCTCAGACGACCTGGCCAAAGCTCTGTAAGAAGCGTCAGAACTGAAACTTCACCACCCCGCCACGTCGCCTGGCCGACTGTTGCAGCTGCTTTTCTCGCTGCCGCAACTCCTGTAAATTAAGTAGTTCTGTGACATCTGTGAAGATGCAAGTAGCAGAATCCTAGAAGAGCCTCTTCGGCTCCCTGGCTAGCCAGCAATGCTGCATCACACTGATGCAAAGCCTGTGCAAGCGACGAGCGTTGGCATCATGAGTCATCGATAAATGCAAAAGGATGTTCACTGGCATACTCGAAACAAGAGTGCGTGTGGTGCAGTGCTTACTGTATCCCTTCGATAGTAGGATCTTCTACTACATGTAGTGTAAGCGAATGAGGCGCCCCCGTGGAGCCCATCTCACTACATCCACGACAATGCATCCCACGTTCCATGTTTGTGAGGCGTCAGGATAGCACTCCTTGTTGCCCAAACGTGCCGGGATCTGAGAGGTTTCCAGATTCGTGGATTCTGTCTCTGATTGGCATGAAGATGAAGAGGATTGATTTCACAAAAAGCCAGCACGTAGAAAGCTCCCGAGGCCCTGAGGTGAGGTGTGAGGACACCCCCCAGCTGCAGAACCGCAGACCATCAAGTGTGAGCGAGCTGTGTGGCCCGAGTCTGGGATTGGCCCAATGGGCGTGTTGTGCCCACCTGTGCCGACAGGCTTGCTCTTTAACTTGCCTTGTTGAAAGCCTCCCGTAAGATGCATTGAGGACTTTGAGGACACCAGCGGACTCAGACACGACTCCGAACATGTTGAAATGGACGCGCAAAGAAAATGCTCCCGGAGGCCTCCTCAGCCTCAAGTGCCTTGCGCTGCCGCTGCTCGAAGAGGGCCGCAACCTCACCGCTAGCCTCTGCAAGAAAGGCAAGACCCTTCCTTTCGCTGAGTGCACCCGGAGCTAAAGTTGCTCCAAACCCCGAGTCGCGAAAACCCTCGCGCTGCTACTGGCTCTGATGCCGCTGACAGTCGCTATTTGCAGCAATGCCAACAATCAAAGCAACCTTGAACCTGGCTGGCCGGTGCCAAACTAAAGCGGTGGCCTCATTTGCCAAAACTCGCTCACGAGCCAACTCCGCTTGCAGTGCCTGCGCCAGTCATGCGAAAGAGGCACAGCCCCGCATGCATGCTTTCTGTTCCGCTAGTGCAAAGCCACACACACACACAGAGCTGCCGCGGATGCGGAATCCGATGCCGCTGGGCTCGAGTCAGCGACTCTCTCGGCTGGGGCTGGAATGGTGTCAGACGCAGGCTGTCATGCTCTGCTGCAGGGCAGGCTCACCCCAACATGAGCTTGCAAACGCATGTTGTGGCCGAGTGGTCTAGTGGTACCAACACTAGCTGCCAAACCCCTGCACTGGGGACTTCCAGCTTCGCGGGCACGTAGTCAAGACAAGCTTCAGGAGTATTGAGTCTGTCCATGCAGAAGGGTATTATGATGAAACTGTCCTGTTCCATGCGTCGTCCCTCGGCCACTTCCGCGGCCAAATTCTGACCCAGCAGCTCCTCGAAGAATTGTCCCCTCATGACTCTGAATTTGGCCAGGACAGAGCTTAAGCGTCCTGCGCCTGCAGCTCATACTGCTGGCGCTCAGCAAGCTGCATGCTGGACAGCAGCTTGGCCTCAGAGACACGCCACTCTCCCGATGCACGGCTCGAGATCGCGGCCGATTTAAAACTCCGAACCTACACATCCACAGTCTGCGTCGGGGCTGTGGCTTCCATCTGTGCCCTTGCTTCCTCATCAGCTTGAAGCTCCAGTGCAAAACGCGCAGCGCTGGCCTCGAAAAGCTCAAGAGCACAAAGAGTCTCTGGTAAAGTCTTTGGCCCTGTAGTGCCTCCAGCTGGGCATTCTCAGCCTCCTGGACGGCACGCTCGGCCGTTGCCTGTACCCACAATACTGCACTCTGTAGGTTGCTTGAAATGCACACGCTTTGTCCATGGCGCACTTCGAAACGAAGCGCTGCGTGCTCCTCCAGTTCTCGTTCAAAGTGGGAGGCTCGAAAGCATCCAGCATCCAGCACACAGCAGAGAGATGTAGAAAGCATCCAAGCGCTCAGTCCTCCAACTCGGCACGCAAACGTCCGCATCGGACCTCGCAGCAGCGAACTGCACTGCATCTTACCCTACTAGTGTTCGCAAGAACTCAGTCAGACCATGGCTTCAAGATCTGCACTCAATGCCTTGCGAGCAGCCTTGTCACAAGAATGTCGAACCATGTTGACCACTTGGACTGGTGCCGATGGTGCCGCTTACTCATCCTGGCCTTCTCCACCGACAAATCCCCTCGGGATCGAACCACGGCAGCCTGCAGTGTAGTTTCGCTGTCGTCTCTGCAAGCGCAACCAACAAACACCTCGAGTTCCCGAAGTTGGCGAAGCTGCTCGGCTTTTGCAACCTGACAGGCAGCAGGCAGGATGCAGATTTTCGCTGCCAGGGTAGCCGATAGCACCACCAAGTCCCGGCGCTTTAAACGAAAGGATTTTTCGGATCGAAAACGCTGTTGGTTAGAAGCTTCTGCCCAGAGCCTGCTGCACCGGGGATGGACCCACTCTGTTGCCAAGACAGTGGTCTTCCCGAAACCCGCATACACGCAGCACACCCTCATTCCCAAACGGCCGAGGTCGCCAGATAAGCTCCACAGTCAGGGTTCATGTCTGAATGAAGCAGATACCTATTTGCCGGTGGCGACTGTGGGTCTCTTGTCTCTCTGTCCCACGGAGTTTGTGGTGCTCCAGAATACATACTTGCTACTTGCACTGGAAGTCTAGAAGGTCATCCTGTGCAAATTTCTATACAAACACATACATACAGCCCTACCTACCTACCTACCTACCTACCTACATACATACAATGCACAGGTACTGGAAAATGCACAAATTCCTGCATACATATACATAGACATGTGTATACACAAAATAATGCATTTCAGACACATGCATCTGTGTGTATATATATATATATATGTAATGTGTCTACATAGAGACTATAAAGCGGGAGAGAGATAGATAGATAGACAGATGGATGGATGGATGGATGGATGGATGGATGGATGGAGACATAGATACAGAGAGGGTGAGAGAGATAGATAGAGAGATAGATAGATAGATAGATAGATAGACAGACAGACAGACAGACAGACAGCCAGATAGTTAGATGGATAGATAGATAGATAGATGAACACAAGATATAGATATAGAAATAGGATAAGGAAAGGATATAGAAGATGTAGAAAGAGATGTAAAAGAATATATAGAAAAATATGTAGAAATAGAAAAAGATGAGGAAAAAATATATAGGACCATATTAGACAGATGGACAGATAGAACAGATAGACCGATAGACAGATAGGCAGATAGATAGATAGAGAGATAGTTAGAGAGAGAGGTAGAGAGAGAGAGAGAGAGAGAGACTGAGAGACAGAGACAGAGGGAGAGAGAGAGAGAGAGAGAGAGAGAGAGAGAGAGAGACAGAGATAGACAGATAGATAGATAGAGAGATAGAGAGAGTTATGAACCGTGAGATCTACCCAGATCTGCGTCAGATCCTGCCCCTCGTCAGCAAGGTCTCGGATGCAACTCAGCTAGGGCAGCGAGTGGTTGGAAGCAGGCAGAGCTGGGAGCCTGCAGCTTGCGCAGCGCCGCAGAACCTTTCCCGGCACTCTTCAGAAGCACTTGCCCTCAGCCAACTGAGAGGTGGAGTCCATTTCAGCGCGTGGCGCTCTGCGTGCAACTGCTTCTGTGCCGCTGCCTCGTTGGCTGTTGCTTGGCTGGCACTTCCACGGCAAAAAGATACTCTTCACCACGCCAGTTGGCCTCCTCCCTGGCAGCTGCCTCCTCGCGTTTTGCTACTGCTGCCTGAGTCGATTGGGATTCCCACTAGTGACAACAAGCCATTGCTCGCCCGCCTCTTCTGCCAGTTCTCGAGTTGCATCGCGAAATTTCAGTTCCTGCATGGCACACAGGAAGGTCTGGCAAAACCTTGCCTTGACAACTAGGCAGCGAAGCAAATGGCCTGCTTGCTGCACAGCTCCTGTTGCTCAGCGGTGCTGGACAGAAGCCGCCGGCACTGCTCCAACTCCAGCGTGGCTGCCTGACAGACACCGGACAGCACTAGAGTTATGCATAGAGAGTAGAGCAGCGGTACACTGCTCCTTCTGCTCTCTTTGAGCATCAAGAAGGCCCATGCCTCAGAGCAGAAAGCTTGGCGGCCCTTCCACAAGGGACTCCGAGGCAAACACCAACCGCATCTTGCTGGTGCTGGTAGGCCTGAAGAGCGAGCCAGAACGAAGTGGGCTGCAATGAGTTTATGCTGAGCTTTTGCAAACCACAGGTGCCTGCACCTCCTGCTCAGCCGCTGAGAGCTCCTGAAAAGACGAATACAAAAGGCCTGCATTTCAGCTTGCGGGCCGTTGTGCCTGCTTCAGCAGCCAATCTGGAGGTGCCTTTCAACTAAGGGATCCACAGCTGAGTCTCTGGAGCAGTGCAGACCGGATGTACCTTCGCGTTCTGAATGGCCGGAAGGAACTTCTTGAGGGCGAGGCTAAGCGCTTGGACCTTCGCTTTCGGTTGAACATGGCCACACCTAGTGTTGGTTCAGACGGCGTTGGATGACAAATGCTTCACTTCGACAGGGCTTGCTTTTCGCGACCGCTCTAATTCTACACAAGCCTATGCCCCAAGAAACCGGTCCCAGCCTCACGCCTATGCTCTTCCGCTTGTTGCTCAAGCGCCTTGGCAGGAAACAAAAGAACTGCACTGATCCATCAGACTCAAAAGCTTCAGTCCCAAGCAGTCCTCTCCTGTAGTAGCCTCTCTCTCTGCCGCATCAGCTCTTCCGTTTGGGAATGAAGCCGTCGGTCTGCCTGGCAAAGGGACAAGGACATCAAGATTGGACTTGGACATGCTGCATGTGTCGTCACGAGCTGCACCGTAGAACACGACACAAGCTGGTTTTCTCAACATTTCTCCGGCGTATCGCGCAGTTTCTGATGAAGGTGTGACTCAGTTTCAAGGGCCACCCTGCTAGTGGTGACATTGTGCAGCCACGCAAGGTTGTCCATCTCGGTTGCTGGGCAAACGGGTGCCTTGGCGATGCCAAACTCAGCACCGACAAAGTGCACCAAGCTCGAAAAGCAGATGCTCACACCCACCAGCCATCAGCGTTGCCAGTCATCCAATTGAAGGAGGCTGTTTAACCATGATGAATTCTGCGGCACTCTACCTGTCAGCGCGCTTGCTGGCGAGGACATGGCAAACCGACGCATTCACGCTGTGGATGCCAAGACTCGAGCCCACACCACGCCCAACCGGATGCCAAAGCCGGAGCTCAGGACTTTTGGCCAAGGCCTAGCCGGCCTAGCCGGCCTAGCCGGCCTAGCCGCGATGGCGCACCGACTCGACCAAACCCTTCACCTTGCCTTGCATCATGCTCAGCAAGCTGTTTGTTGACTGCGTGCCATCATCTTCCATGGACTTGTTGGACACCAGCATGGCTGTCCTAGAGTGGTCGAAGTTGGAATTGGTGCCCTCTTTGGCCTTGGGAGTGCGGTCGGAAATGAGCATCGCTGTGCGTTGACGTCGAGCTTGCTTGGCACCTGCTTTGCGTGCCTCTGGGCTGTTTCTGCCAGATGCACTGCTCCGTGGAGAACAATCCAACATCGCCGAGCGATAGCGGGGAACTGTTGCCTTTTTCTCCGGACTCTGCTCCTTGCCCGCGCGTGGGCTCCTTCCGTAGCCAGCGCTGCTTCCGTTGTTGCGGAGAGCAGCACTTGGAAGAACAGGACCTTGGGCAAGCATGGCGCTTGGGACCTAAGATCTGGCTTGGTTGCAGTTCGCTGCTTTGCAGCCACTTCGAACCAGTATGCCTGATGAAAAGCTGGCCTGGGCATGTCTGAACTTACTGTTGCGCAGATGGTGGCGAGTCTTGCAGGATGACTCTTCGTCACAAGGCCTCCTGTGTTTGCAGCTTTCCTTCTGCTTTCACTCGTCGAAACTGCAGAAGCTGCGTCTCCAGTTTCCTGTCTACTGCAGTGAACTTGCTTCAAAAGGCTCGTCAGAGCTGCTGCCGAGGAACTTTATGCAGTTTCGCGACACCTGGTGGGGCATGCACGGAAAGTGCGAGAAAGCAGCGCGGTGGAACCAGCTCTGCAGATTGATTGATAGTTCAGGTGCATAAAGCCCAGTCCTGTGCAGGCCTTCCTTAAAACACAACAAACAACAGCAAGCAATCATTGCCTCCAGCTGCTGCTCCCAGCGCTGCTTCTCCTTCAACGCCAAATCCGCCTGCGGATGCACAATCAACATTTTGCAACCGAAAACCTGTGGTCACTGAAAATTTGCAGCATACTGCACCATAGCATTGTCGCGTTCCTCAATGCGGAGCTGAGCAAGGTCGGCTCCTTCCATTTGCAGCTCCTGCACGAGCAAGTGCGATGCAACATCATATCCGATCGATGTTCGCCTGTGCTTGGATGCTCTGGTTCGGATCGCGAAACTAGCTTGTTCTCCCGAAGCGGCCTTGTATTCAAGACCTCCGCAGTTTCCCTTGTCGTCGCATGTTGATGTTGTGTATTGCTGTGTCCCTCTGCCACGCAAGACCCACCCACATGTCATGCACAGTGAAGCGGCCCCAGTTTCTGTCCAATATCACAAATCAACAGCTGGGGGCTCGGCAGTCTTCAGTGGGTACATGCGGAGGAGATGAAGTGAGTAGGATAGTCACATAGAGCTAGGACCACCGAACCGCGAAGCACGAAACAGCAAGCATACCTGAGAATTGATAGACTCATATGCCTCTGACTATGACAACACTTTCGCTGGCCTCCTGCAGCTCCCTGGCCTCGCGGAGTGCCTGCACGAATGGAAATAACGTGCCCCCCTTCTCACGCGCCACACTGCGCTAGGCCGCCCATCCTCGGCCAAGCGGGCATCTTTCCGAGCCTGAGAAGTGGGGAACTCAAAAGGGAACGGCCCTCGGCCAGGAAAGCTGGCGCTGGCGCCTCAGACGGGGCCTTCACCCTCGACATCTGCCACCAAACCAGAGTCAACGCATCTTTTGCGGCGCAAGCTTGGCTGTTCTGTCAACTCTGAAAAGCTTCTCGACTCCTGTGGAGCTGGATCCTCCAAGAGCTTGAGCCCACATGTCCAAATTTACAGCTGATTTCATAGATTTTCAACACTCATAGGGACACTCGGACACTCCAGTCTTTTTCAACCGGCGTTTTGATCCGAGCCGCCCGAAATTTAAGCGGCCTGGGGCTTGACGGGCGAAATCGCCAGCCTGATGCGTTAACTCCTCTTTGGATCCCCTGCGGTCTCTGCCCAGGAGGATATAAGAGGATGGGAAGCTATGGACATGTGCGGCGGCATGCCTACTTCAGCAAGGGCCGCAAGTCTCTGCGACACGTGGGGCACAGCGAGGCCTCACCAACTTGTCCAATGACCGACCGAAATTTCAAGTGACCAGTGCTGAGGCCATGCCTTCTTCAGCCACGGGAGGACGCAGCTGAGGTGAAACACGTGCTGGGGAGCACAGGGCAGCCTGCAGCGGGACGTAGCAAGCTATCCGCATCCACACCAAGGCAAGCTAGGCCAAAACAGGACGTGAACCAAACACCCCTCAGGCATTCTCATTCGTCCTCAAGTTTGTATGAGAAGCGCTGCACATGGAGAACCACGGCCTACTTGAGATGGCGGGGTAGAAACACTATCCATGTTCTACGTTCGTGCAGTTTTGGAAATCAAGCAGCCAACCGCCCCCCGCCCCCAAAAAAAGACGAAACGACATTAGCGCCTTACGGAAAGAAGCCCCGGAAGTGTTGCTCCGTTTGGGGGGGGTCCAGGCATTTGCAGATGGATTCCTGCAGTCTTGCTCGGGCACCGCTTGTAACGTGGGCACATTCTGTTTGGATGACCTCCAACACCAGGTCGATCTTGGGGCCAGGAAACTACGCACAGATGCGAACGTGTCATGAAGAGTCCCCTACGATGGTCAGCCCGAGCTGCAACCAATTGGAATTGGGCGGCGCTCAGCGTTCACACGCGAGCATGGCGGACCCGTTGTTTTCGATGAGTGTCTTAGACAAAGTGGTAGGAAACTGCATTCGAGGCCGAAACAGCTCACGGAACGGTTTAGAGTGTTTTACATACCTGACCTCTTCGCTTTCGTGGTGTGGGGCCTCGGCTGGCAATCCTAAAACTGGATCTCTGCATATCTCTGCACTGGGACTCGCCTTGGGTGGGGCAAGCGCATGCCGTGCATGGCCTGCTTATTCCTACTCCTCAGGCTGTACTCCACCAATTGCTGACAAGGACGGTGACAGCGCGGTACATTGATTCTGCAATGTTGGTGAACACCGGTGCCCGCTAGGAATGGCCGACGCTGCACACAGCAATGACAGGATTTACACAGCGATTCTTCCTGGATCCTGCCTGATGCAGCAGCTTGAGGCATCTGGGGCCTTGACCGATATGCATGGAGACCTTCCCTCGACTTCTGGCTGCATCAGGTCGTCTGTGCTTCGGGCACCGAAGCAGACGGCGCACTCGAGGTGCTCTGACTCCTGGCCTGTCGGAGCAGGGGCGAACCACCACGAGCCTTCAGCACTCTGTACGTTAAAGCGCCTTCGCGCAAGTCAGGGGAAACTGGCTGCCACCTGCTGCTGTGATCACCCTTACGACTGCACGGAAGGGGCTGCTGCATTGCCTGTGCTTGGTCTGCAGAATGCGCAGCTGTTCATGAGAGAGCCCCGGAACTGCCTCGTGAGTACGTCACATCAGTCCCCGTCGGCATCGATTGCATCGGCATCGTGCCTTCTTCTTGCCATTCTCGTTGACCTGGAGAAGCAGATGCACCGGACCAACCGACGTCTGATGAGAAGTTAAGAGCTTCGGACCGTCACTGTCGTGAAGAGGTCTCCACGAAGTGAGCCCCAGGCCCGCTGATCCTGAGTGCTCGATCAGCCGCTTCAGTCTAGCAACAGCATCATATACCTTTTGATGATTTTGATGTTTAGACTCTTAGACCCATGGCCAAGAGCTACTTGTCTGGTAGGAGTCTGTGACTCGATCGTCCTGCTGGTTGAGTGGCTTACCCTTTACATTCCCACGACACACTTGGTGTGAACTGGACATGAAGACGAAATCGTCTGACAGAGTGTTCCGTGTTGACTGTGACGATCAAGATTGTTCATGCGTTTGGGTTCTACAGTCTGTGGTCGCTCCGCAATCGCCCGGCCTCTGAGAGAAGCCATTGCCTGGCAGCCTCTACTGGCCGAACCGGCCTCAAAGAACCGCCCACGCCCAATGCATGACTCCAGCACATCGGACAACTTCAGCACCCTGCCGTGGTGCCCGCCATGCATCCGCGTAGCCCTCCACGACATCATCTCGCAAACGGTCTCGACTCCTGCAAACACGACACGCTGCCGGCGATATGCATGAAGTCCTTTTGCTGGTGATCCTGTCCACAGCAGACTGCCCGTCAGCGCCTGCCGAAAGCTTGCCAAGAGCACCCGCTCATTTGCTCTCACATACTCGACTCAACGCACTCGATTGTGCTGATCTGAGCGCTGCACGAAGGACATACGAAGCTGCACAAGCCTCGACAGAGCTACAGCTACTGCATTCGTGGAAGCCGCAGCAGAAGCAACACACTCACGTCAGGCATTCCGTGGCTGCTCCTACAGACTCGAGGCCCCGACAGGATGGAAGCGACGGTAAATCGCTGCGCCTGCACGCAGTGTTTGTCCAGTTCTTGTGAAGCAACATGCAGAACGACCATGAATCTTATTGCACATGCTTCACGCAACAATGTAGTGTTATTGATATTGAAAGTCTTGGATGCTCTCGAATACACTGCAATGTCTGCTTCACCCTTACTTCCACGCCTGTCCAGACCGTAACCTCCTCGTTCAGATCTCTTAGAGGCTGCCTGCACTACCGCACATCTCGGTGACACGGCCGGCACGCAGCCCGGGCTCCGAGGCAGCAGCCCACAACCATAGCAGAAGTGGCCCAGGTCGTTGCGCTGTGCTTGCCTACAGCCACTCTGGCGGGAACCCTGCAGGCAGGTTTTCGAGCTGCCTCTGCCGGACAGCCCAGCCCGAGGACCGTTTGTTGGCCACGACCTGTCGACTCTGGAGGCAGCTGGAGGAGATGCAAAAGAGCCGCCCGGTGCCTCGTCCAGAGCAATGCCCTCTCCGATGAGTTCTCTTTGGATGGCCTACGAGACAGCTGGGCAGTCTCCTCAATTCCTCCATTCTGCCACAATGAGCCTGGGCCTGGTCAATGGGCGACAATGGCGGCGGGGCCGATCTGCTTTTCTGGGCGCTGCGCGAACTCCTCGTAGAGCATGATGCCTCGAGTGCAATCCGGTTGAAGAAGAGTTTGCTGCCGACTTCTTCCGGGCCGAGATACTCTTGACTCGGAATCTCGGAGTGCAGCTGCGTAGGCCTGGCACTCATGGCATGGCCATGGCCGATGTTGATGCTTTGGAGCCATTCCTGGTATTCTGACATATCCTGTCTGAAGCTGCACTTTTGCGCGTGCGCCAAGTCTCGCGTTGGGCAGCTGCTGAAGACTTGCCTGAGATGTAGCAGCGTAGCAGTCTTAGGTTGAGGATATGGCTGGCTGCTAAGCTCCACGCTTTGCATCTGTACCGTCAGCACTGGCCACCCACCAGTGCTTTCACACTGGGTAGCAGTTGCTGGGGAGAGCTGCTGCATCACTGGAATCACTACCGCGGCATCCAGAGCCACAGCATGTCAGAGCCTTTGCTTGCATCGCTTCGGCAAAAAAAGTCCAATTGCTGGGTGTGCTATGGCGTGCCGTCGAATATCTAGGCGTACGAATAGTTCCGACTGTCTACATGGTGCGTGAGACAATCTGCAAGCTCACTTCTTTTTGGCGGGAGCCTGCACACCAATACTGCAGGGAATTTGCTTCAGAAGGCAGGCACGCATGTGGCAGGAGCAGTCCTTGCCATCACTGTCATCACTGAGGCTCATGAGAAGCGACTCCGTCGAGAGCACCATTCGATTAGCGGACCTGCTCTTCAGGGCTTCCGCAAGTCCCCTCCAGAACTGAACTGCTTATTCGGTGTTCTGAGATTAGCACTTGGAAAGCAAGCTAGAGATCTCCTTCGCGACCGAAATCTTTCGCAGTTCGACGAAACCTGGATTGGCCTCTCGAGTTTCACTACGACTCAACGACAAGAATTGGAATTCTGAGCAACTGTGCCTTGATCGCATCACCAATCATCCTCGCCGACCTCAGCAACCCGAAAACCACACCCCTCTCCCCATGGCAGATGGACTCAGATGGCTGTTCTTAGTGAGTGGCTCTTTCTCGCCTTCGGCGTGGATGATCGTTCGCTTCTTTTCCTCCTGAGCCTGGCAGGAGCATTCGGCTGGCATTGCAAGCCTGGCTGCCTGCAAGACGGAGGCCTTCAACACCATGTACCGGGCACGTTCTGCCTGCTGTTGTGCCACCTGCTTCTGCTCAACAGCCTGCAGAGCAACGTCTCTTTTTGTTGCGAAGCTTCGGATGCCAGTATGTAAACAGCAATGTCGTCTCTTTAGTATGCCTGCAGGAGGTGGTCAAGCACGCTTTTTTTCCGAAAAGAGATATGTTTCCACGCAGCCCTGGCGCGCCCAAGGTGCTGCGAATCCTTTAGTGTCAGATTGGGCCGACACGGAGTTCAGCACAGTTCAAACGGTGCTTATCACTTGCGGCCATCATCGACATAGTTGTCTGGCAGCTCAGCCTTTGTCGTCAGAAGCTCCTGGCGACGTCGCTGCAATCTAAAAAGTTGTGCAGGTTCTGCGCACAGCACAGTGGGATGTAGAGTCCGCGGCCTCCGAGATATAGCCCCACCTCGGAAACTACAACACCACCGCAGGCTGCATGTCAGGAGTTCTCACAGCATGTGCCCATCACAAATCCGACTAGCTTGTTCTGGCTGAGGTCGAATCACAGACTTTGCTCCAGCGGCCAGGCACTTCTCTCGGCCCTTCAATGCCTCGAAATTCTGAGAAGTTTCGCTGTGCGCAGAACCCCCTCGAAAACATTCGCTGACGGCCTTGAGCTCGACCATGCAACTACATTCCACCACTTCCGCCTGTTGCACACTGCACGGAAGCTGAAGCTGCCCACGGTAACTCACGCAAAACACTTCACCTCACAGGCTTCCATGAGCTTGATACCGGCGCAGAGTGTCCCTCCTGAGGTGAGTTTGCGAAGCTGGTTCGACGCCAACGTCTCCGGCATCCATCTCGAAGCGGCTCCAAAGTTCCTATGCGGCCCCCTGGGGCGAGCTTGATCGGACTTCGCCTACTTAAGACCATGCGAAAGGTTGAAGTACACAGGTGCACCCGCCATCATCTTCAAGCTACGGCTTGGCTTTCACGGCAACAGCTTCGCAGGCTCTCCAACACGTTCCAAAAGATCGAGCGAAAAATACCAGCTTGACTGCATGCTTCAAACAATGGACACAGCCGGACCTTGCTCGACACAGCCGACTTCTGTTGCCAAAGAGCCAGTTGAACGTGTGCTTGCAGAAACCCCGGTGACGTGTTGATGTTGAAACGATTCAAAATCCAACTTCGGATCAAGCATCTCTGCTAGACTGCTAGACCCCACAAAGACATCATGATTGATCACGAATGGCCGAGACGTGTACAGTCCTGTAGCAATCAGGTCGTCAATGAGGACCACTTTGTCGCCCTTGACAACCGCTCCCTGCAGGAATCATTCTGAATCACAAACGGGGGCATGGGGAGTCAGCAAGCTGTTCGTAAGTGGCAGGGGCCTTCTGCACACACATCTCGTCCAAGCCGTCGTACTCCTTGATGCACACTGAAAGGTGTCCATCGCGCTTTCATTCAGCGCTCTCTCTCTCTCTCCTTTGTGTACGGGCCGCTGGAGATTGTGTTTGGCAGCTTTCCAGCCTCGCAACATTACGCAAGGCAAGAATATGGGAGGAAGAATCCGGATGACGATGCGGGCACTGTAGGGCCTTGCGGAGCATCACAAAAGGCACGCCAAGCTTGATGGAGACAGGCGTGAAAAGGAAACCACGAGCCTCTCAGGGAACAGCACAGCTTCCTCCAGCCGGCCCTCTTCTCAAAAGGGATCTACTTCAGCGCCTCAAAGCCGCAGATCTTTGTCACACCCATTTTTCGGAATCGCTTTGCCCATACCGCACACATCGCATTGAGAAGCTTCGGGTGCTGCAGCAGGCCCTGAATGTCATAGAACCTGGAAAAACGAAGGCGATCGAAGGGATACAAGCGTCAGCCGCAGCGCAGTCCTCTCGATCTTCTTGAAGGGGAAATAGGGTATATGCAAAGCAATCTCCTGACTGTCTCACACTGGGATGCGCCGTACGCAATCGTACGCACAAGACTACGAACACCGCTCCCCAGACTTGCAAGCAAGCTGCCTTGGCCAGGGGTCCATCAGATTCCATGTCTCCCTGCTGCAACCGCTTGGCTTCGGCCTTGGGCTTCGCCTTCGACTTTGCTTTCGGCTTCGCTGCCGCCTTCTTGCCCTCTCCGGACACAGAAGAGCACGCAAAATACGCAAAACAGAACCCGACAGAGCGCCATACGATGTGCTAGATTCCGTGCCCTGCTGTAGCGCTAAGAAGACACTCACAGACCGCTGAAAGGACTGAAAGGATCTGAAAGGATTTCGCAAGCCTGTTGGCAACCTGGTAAGGGCAATCAGAGCACCTGCTTGGCAGACTCCGCTGGAGTAGGATCCTTTGCGGCCTGGGCAGATTTGCACGGCACGTGACTTCCTCATGTGATCTCATGTGCTTCAACCAAGATGGCGCCTGCGCAGACTGCGCCTTACGCTGACTGCTTCTGGTCTTTGCCGGCTTGCACTCATAATCCCAGTATTCCTGTGGCATTTGGCTCTTCATTCATCTTGGTGGCTTCGACACTGCGAATGCAGCCCTGCATGTCCTCCAGCTGCTTCATCTTGTATTTGCCACGGTAGAACTCCTTCGCTTCAATTTGTCTCATCCATCTTCTACAAGGGCCGTTACGAGAGTCACTTCAGGAACACTCCGCTTGCAGCTGTGCGATCAACCGCGGGCTGTCTTCTTCTGAAGCCAGGTTTCAGCCAGCTCATCCCAGGTGTATGCACATCCATCTTCGGGATCAACACGCTTCTCCTCGGGTATGCGAACGTAATATACTGCATACCTGGACGGCTACCTGCACCAAGAACAACCCAATTCAGGCCAAGCGGCCTCGGGGTCGTAGTTGGGATCTTCCCTCCTTCATGAAACTAGACGTAACCCCATCTTCTGCAGAGCTGTCGTTTACATATCTGACCCACGTCTCCTTTCCAATCAAACGTCGGCTGCTTGGTTTAGGGTTTAGGGTTTAGGGTTATTCAGCCGAGTGTCTTCAGGACTGCACCCCATCTCTCATCTCCCGCCTAACACAGCAGGCACACGGAATCACGCAGCAGAAAACAAGGGTTCTTTCGTGCAGAAGACTTTGCGCCTTTCCGATAGTGTACTTCCCTCCTCCGCCAGATTTCCTGCGCCGCTACGGCTGACACACGCTCCCCGTATCCACCGTGCTTGAACCGAGCGTCTTTTCTGGCTGTCTGACCGAGGATCGCGGGTTGGCACTGTGCCGCTCCTGACTAGCCCGGCTAGCCGCAGGGCGCTGAGCTGAGACAAATTTGGAGAAGTCCTTGTCTCGAGGAGCCATGGCTTGATGCACCGTTCCAGTGGTTACAAACTATCACATGGTCAATTGCGGTCGCTAACTTCCTCAAGCTGCTCCTACGTCTCGAAAAGTTTGCGGGAGTCTTATGTTTTGCTTTGCCTGTTCAGTCCATCTGCTCTTGTCTGCTTGATCAGCTGTCGAGGATCAGAGCTCAGGTGACATCCTGTGAGTCACCTGCGGCTTTCTGTGCAAGCCGAAGACTTCTTGTCGTGTTTGGTCCTGCCTTTTCGTATTCAGGGCTGAAGTTCAGATGAGTGATGGCAACGTCGTCCTGGCGAACGAAGCTTTCCCGAGCAACCCTTCACGGTCACTCCACTGGCAGACAGTCTTGGGGATAGGAGGGCCCTTCATGGCATCAAAATGCATCAAAGAACAGGCCGCTGCGCACAACTCACGTGTTCTCCAACCCCCGGAAGCTCGAGCATGCACCTGATCTGATCGATCGGTGTCAAGGTCCATGTAGTAAACCGACTCGAAGAGACTTGCAAAGCCAAACTTCAACAAGGCTCCAGGTATATCCCAGTAGTTGCGATGCAAAGACTCCTTGACAGATGGATCCTGTGCATGATGAGTGAACTCCGAACCACATCGAGCCACTACAGAAACGTGCACGGATCCCTTCCCTGCAAGAGCAGCTGGGGAGACGAGGAGTATGCCAAAGTCCGATGCTCTTTGGATGAGTCGCTGTCTGATCCTCCGTGGCCGGAGGGGGCAAAGGAGATGCAAAGCTTCTCATCCAAGGTGTCGGCATTCGGCTAACCATTTCTCGCCTGAGCTCTTACGCAGCTCTGAGATCATGCAGACACACAGAGCATCTTGGTCCCGTGCTGCGTGATCAGCTGCGAGGCATTGTACTGTGCCACTACGCTCTTCAACACCTGAAGCTGGAAGCTAGTGAACCTGCAAAACGAAGGCCACTGTCGTGCCTCGTTGGCAATAGAAGGCATCACTTTGTCATCGAAGTCCAAGCCTAGGTTCCTCGCAAGAACGACATGCATCCAATGCTGCAGTACTGTTGCGGTCAGTGCACAAGCCTGTAGATCTCAGGGAGCTTCTCTGAGTCTGGCCTGCCAGACATGCCGACATTCAGGACTGCAAGCCAGAGGCTACTGGGCCGCTTACTTGCAGAGGGCCCTGAGTGTTAGGTTGACCTGACGTGGGCCACGGCTGTGGCTTCGACTTGTGTGTCATTGAGTCATTGACAACTTCTATGTATCCAAGGATCCGTTTGCAAGTCTCGCGTTCCTGTGTTTGAGGTCCTCAGTTGGCCCATCTGGTCGGGCTGCAGGAGTAAGTCTCCAAAGGCAGTTGAGCTCCGGTCACCATGTGTGGTCTAGCTCGCACGTCGAATATGATGGCCCGCTCGAAGTAGGGCAACATGAAGTGAACGCCTCGTCACGGACCGTCCAGCTGCAACGAGCCGAACACAGCGACTTGCTGCGACTCGCCGCTCCAAGCCTTCCCTGAAGGTCTGGTTTCCGACGCCGAAGAATTTGCTGTACTTCGCTGCAGAGCGAGCTCATCGATGTACCGTGACAGGCCTTCAACCCCACAGTCGGTCCTTGATGGACATGTGGCCGGCGTCGACTGTGTAAATAGAGTTGGTGACGACATAACCAGCACCAGCCAAGACCTAAGCGCATGGTCCATCTCCATTGTGGGCAGTATCTCAGACTGATGTAACTGTATAACTGTATATAACCCATGTCCGTCAACAACTGCCATCCGAGACGCAGCTGCCCCTGCCGCCAAGGGCGTGCCCGTTTGCGCGACTCTTTGCAGCCTGACACCGAAAAATGTTGTCTTTTCGTAATGAAACGTCACTGTGTTGCATCTGTTCCTCTTCTACAACATTCTACAACAAAGGAGGAAGGCGGATGCCCCCCTTCAAGGTGCGGACAGCTTGCCAATGTCGAATCGCGACCTGCTGGCATCAGACAGAGCCTGTGATCAGCAAAGCTCACCAATGCTCAGCAATGCAAATGGCTTCAGGGCGGAACATGGCGAGCGGGAAGGCCCAAATGACAAAACTGCAGCTAACCCTGCTTGGGCCTTCAAAGCTAAGCTGCGCACTGCCGACTGATAAAGGAAGATAAATAGGGGAAGCAACGAATGGGGAGCAACTCGGGCAGGTCGCAAGCGTCCTGTCGAGGTTCATCTTTTCTTGCAGAGTTCGCTGCCTTGAACCCCTGAGCATCGCACTCTGGAACCCCAGCTCCCCAGGCCGAAACCCGCCCCAACCGGGTTTGCAGCCTGATTTCTGCAAAGTACCGGAAAAAACTGCTGGCCGCGCCGGCCATAAACGGTTACTGCGCTTCATGGCGGTGAGACTGCGCTGAGTCGCGCCAGGCACTTTGCCGTTCGGGCAGACACCTCTGCGAGGCCTGAGCCCATAAACTCTTCAGGAAGCCACGGCTTCGTTGACTCGGCCTTGCCTTAAGCCGGAGGCTTCCGATGTCCAAGACTTCCTGGACCACAAGGTCACACGAGGCCAAAGCCACGATTCAGCCCCTTCCGTCCTTTAGTGCCGGCAACACATTTGCAATGCTGTCGACTTTCAGCAAGCCCTGACAGCAGCATGCAAGGCTAAAATTGGCCTTGCAACTGCTGAACGTCAGCTGCGACACGATGCTGCCCTTGCCTGGAGAGCCGCCACCTGGCTCAGAAGCCGCATGGACAACTTGATCGTACTGAAACAGTCATCCGATGCAGCTATCCACGCACCAGAAGCCGTCTACTTTATCGTTCTAACAACATTCATTCGATACAACTGTTCGCCATCGTACCAAAACCGCCTTGCCAAGCTTACCGTGCTTCCTTATGCGGGAATGAGAGTGGAGAGTCAGGGCGTGAGGGTGAGAGTAGAGCAGAGTGGGAGTGCTTTGTTGCCTGGTGTGGTTCGATTTGCCTCGCAGTTGCCGATCGCAGGGTCACTACGGAGACTGAGGAATTCGCAATGCGGTAAGCGGCAACGTGTTCGTCACAACTTTGGACCAGTGTCTCGGCACCTCACGGCTTGAACACAAGCGACACTGCTGTTGCACACCATGAGCGCACCACCCGGCTGGGCCCGAAGCATGAGTGCAGTTCAACTTTAGAACATCGCATGGTGGACGACAACGAGTTCAGCAAAGCCACCTGCAGCTCAACCAAGGGCAGGGGCGTTGGCAGGTGTTTCACTACGTGATTAAACAGATTTTTATCATCGTGTGTGCCTGTGCAGAATTTGTTTCCACCATCTCCGTAATCTTCTCCAGACATTGACTGATGGACGTTCCTCAGCGACTAAAACTTCTTCTGGTTGGCGACCGTGATGCGACAACTTGGGAGCATGCTGTCAGCATCAGCAAGCTGCAGGCCGAGTGCAACTTCGCTCCAAACCTGCGATACAAGCAGACAGTGTTGCAGGCCTAGTCCTTCTGCATTACTGCATCCAAGCAACCACCCTTGAACAAGAAATGCGTTGAGTGGTGAAGTGCAGAAAGCTTTCCGCCATGACGTATCAACGATAAACAGCTTTGACAAACTTGCATTGACCTATCGTCCATCGCCATGCAATTCTCTGACATCACTCGTTCAACATAATGACTTCGGGACACTGAGTTTACGGACACGCACGAAACAGTTTCCACGAGGCATGGACCCTCGAGCTGAAGGCTGCGAAATGCGAAATTTTGGGTGTTGGTGGACCTGCACATATTATCTCCACGGAGCCCACTTCACATGTACCCGGTGCTGAAGAAGGCTTGGGAACCCAAGGTATGCACAACTATTGGCGGTTCCACCAAAACTCATGTCGAAAATTCCGCAAGATAAACAACCTTCGGAGGCCATCGCAGAACTTGCACTCAGGTCCCTTTCTTGCTGTAGGCCACAGACTTTGCGATACGTCTTATTACTGCACTGGTGAAAAGGCCAAGCGACCAAGCCGTGTCGAAAACTATGCCTGTGCATCTTGCAGCACTACTGTTCCTTCGGCGCCTGGCTCCAACAACCAAGCCTTTCAAACCACAAAGGAAGAGCAACCACGTTGGGCCTCGTCGTTGCTCCGTTGCCTGACGTGAAGCGCATCTTGAGTGAACCAGCTACCGGTGATTTGAAAAAGCAGCAACAGCCGTAAACCATCCGAGCTTCCAGCTTAAGGAGAAGTTCGTGAACTCGCTCCACCGCCTCGGCCGGAGACGCGCCTCGGATCTTTGCTTCTGCTTTTCTCTTCACGTTGGCTCAAGCAGCCCTGAAAAGACTCAGGGAGCGACTTGCTGGCAGCTTCAACGCCGGGATGACGTCTCCCCAGGCCTGTCAGGGACTGATCGGGAGAATGCTGGCAATTGCGCTCCCAAAACAGTCGACAAGTGCCCAAAGAACGATAAACATGAAGAAAGCATAGGTGATGCTTACCCGCGTCTACCTGCCTCGTCAAGAAATCGAATCTCTGCACCTACCTTATGAGTGTGTACCTCCAACATCCTCCTACTCACCTGCATTGCAGATGCGACTAGTCACTCCAAAGTGGCTGGTCCTTGTGTGACGGTCTTTTATCCCGCTTCAACTGTTGAAACGACTGGAAAACAACCACTCGCGGCTAGCCTTGGCGAAGACATGCAGATGGAGTAACTATGTCGGGATAGTTTGGAGGTGCTGCTGCATCGAATAAGCTGAACTAATCCTGCGACATTCTCCAACATCGCAATTCTGCGTGGCCTTCTCGTTCGCACGTTGCCTGAAATCACAAATGCACATTCTGTAGAGACGTCGGCAACATCGAGCAAACCCTTCCTCACCGTGCTTGCATCGAAAAACGAAACTCGGGCATGGGCGCTTCAACCACAGCGACGAGCTTCTCTGTCAGCTCCGTGGTCGAGCTACCTGAGCAAGGCTCAACAGTAGTCACGCGGTGGGGCTTCACATAGATCGCTGCGCAGCACACCTTCGGGAAGCTCTAGCACATGGGCCATCCCACGCAGGGCCTGCAAACCGCGACTTCTTCACCCACCACGGCTGCGGCAGCGAACATGGAGGTTTAGCCCAGCCTGCATCCAGTCCTCTTGCCTGCACGCTCACTGTGGAAATCCTAGTTGAATTGTCAAGAAATCTGGAACTGTCTGATTGTAGATCTTGGCTTCTAGCGACCTTTGGAGAGCACCAACACTCTCTAGAACTCGGGCGGCTGAGCAACCTGACATGTTTCAGCAAAAACTGTTGTAGTCATTTCCATGTGACACCGTCTGCCTGAGCCCGTGAGTAAGATGCCCACCAGATGGCAAGCATAAACTGTGAGCGATGTCGTTGCAAGCCTTGCAGATAGGCAAGTTCTCTCGAGAAGGGAGCAAAGAACCCGCAAGAAATCGGAGACCATAGTCTCATCGCATTGGTGGGGGTCTATGCTCGGAGGGCATCTCTACTCTCCTGTTCTCCCCAGGCGAGCGCGCGCCAGGGCTCGATTACGAACCTCGAAAACTGTCGTGCATTGCTGCGTGAAGCCCAGGGCAGTAAACAGAGAGCACTACACAAACCACAGCTGCGAGTGCCGGAAGTGCCTGCAAAGGATCGATCGGCTCTGACGATCTGAGGTTTGGGATGGTGTGCAAAGTCACTATTGCGTCCATCCGTTGTTGGGCACTCGTCCCGGCCTAGGTTGCCCTGGTAACGTGCCATGTGGCGAATGGACCAACATCTCGCAAGCACACCAAGGAGCGAGACTGCAGAGTCAGAGCACGGTTCCAAATTGGCTAAAATCTGACTGAACTTGGCGTGGACTTAGCCCCTCAGCGGTTTTTTATAGGGCGGGGTGGGAGTGTGCAAAAGCTGGCCTCTACTAGCCTCACAGCTCTGAGCGCAACACTGCTTCTATGCGCTGCTGTGACAACGCTCGTGGGTATCATTCAAGGCAAAACTGCACGCCACGAAAGCTGGCCTTCTCGTTCGCGCGTTGCCTGAAATCACAAATGCACAT